GTATGCCTTTTGCCCTTTACTAAGAACAAGCACAGACTTATATAACTGCAGTACAGTTAGCAACTTAAGGAAATTTGACCTTGACTTAGTACAGTTATCTAATCTATGGTCCATATTCCAATTTTATCAATTGTGCCAAGCATGTCCTTTACAGCTGTGTTTTTTTCCAGTCAGGATCTCATCCTTTGGTCCTCCTTTGTCCTTTATTTAGGACACCAACTTTTTTTTTTTTTGAGATGGGATCTTGCTATGTTGTCCAGGCTGGTCTCAAACTCCTGGGCTCAAGCGATCCTCCTGCCTCAGGCTCCCAGGGTGCTAGGATTACAGGCGTGAGCCACCACGCCAGTCCCAACATCTTGCATTTTTAAATCAACATCTCGCAACTTCCTTTTCCTTAGAATGCTCATCTTATCTTTTGCAAAATGTAGATTTACTGGGCACTAATTAAAGTGTCACAACAATGTAACCATTTGCCTCAGCACCTACCCCATCTCTTCCTACATGTTTTCTCCCCTTTAAAGAAATACATAAATCCGGAGCCTTCTGATAACTTTTCCGAGGGCACGATCCACAGACATTTCTGTGAGTCATGTCTTTTTTCCCCGGGTGTGTCCTGAAGTTCTGGCTCAATAAACCGTGAATGATTGAGGAAAAAAACCCCAAGAAAACCAAAAAACTGTCGTGGTTTCAGAATTTACAGTATTGAATGGGTAAGATGTTTACATATTGCCAAAGTCCCAACGTCTAAAAAGCATAACCAGAGAAAAGTCTTGTTCCCCCATAGAAGTATCCACCAAAACCTTGTTCCAGAATGTTTTATCCACGATCATGTTCAAGTTTTTTGTATGCATAAACAGCTTGCTTTAAAGAACACTGGGAAATTTTTTTCCCACTTTATAGAAGTGTAATTGATACACCATAATCTGCATGTTTCGAGCACACGATTTAATAAGCTTTGACATGTGTATACACCCAGAAATTATCACCACAATTAAGATAATAGATGTATCTACCGCACCCAAGTTTGTGGCCCTTGGGAAACCCTGCTATGCGGTCCTCCCTCCCTAGGCAATCCTGGTATGTCTCCTATCACTGTAGATTGATTAGTTTGCATTTTCTAGAATTTAATATAAATGGGATTACATAGGATTTGCTCTTTTTTGGGGGTTTCTTTCACTCGGCGTGATTCATCTCTGTTGCACTGTGTATCAACAGTTCATTTATTTTTATTGCTGATGTAGATACACCAACCACAAATTCTTTATCCATTCATCTGTTGAAAGACACTTGGGTTGTGTCCAGCCTTTGGCTAGTATGAACAAAGCTGCTATGGAAATTCATATATGAGTCTTTGATTGGATGAATGCTTTCATTTCTCTTTGGGGGGGTGGATTTTTTAAATTTTAAATTTTAATTTAAATCTTCCTGTCACTCCTGTCCTCATCTGTCCCCCTACATATGACCACAGATAGCCACTGTCTGTAGTTCCTTCTCTGTCCTCGTTAATTTTATTTATGTAGATAATAGCAATATCCCCCACTTTTTACACGGAAGATATAATATTCCTCTCAACCGTTTGTGCCTTTTTTCATTTAATGTAAATCTCAGAGCTCTTTTCTTACCAGCCTGTAGGAGCATTTTTGGTTTTGATAGCTGTATATTATCCGATTTTATGTTTGTACTGTAATTTATTTAACCAGTTCTCTATAGATGGGCACTTGCATTATTCCTAATGTTTGCATGCAGTCATGAATAATCTTACAGGTGGTCTTTTTTTTTTTTTTTTTTTTTAAGTATTTCATTCTGTTGCCCAGACTGGAGTGCAGTGGCATCATCATAGCTCACCGTAGCCTCGAACTCCTGGGCTCAAGTGATCCTCCCGCCTCAGCCTCTGGAGTAGCTGAGACTACAGTTGCACACCACCACGCCCAACTAATTTTTAAAATTATTTCTTTGTAAAGATGGGGTCTCGCTATGTTGTCCAGGCTGGTCTCGAACTCCCGGCCTCAAGTGATCCTCCCGCCTTGGCCTCCCAGAGTGCTGGAATTACAGGCATGAGCCACCATGCCCCACCACATTTTACATAGCTTTTAATTTTCTCTAAGTACACAATTAACTTTTCAAATGTTTAATAGCCATTTTTATTTCCTTTGTCCCTTTTTTTATTGGTATGTTCTTTTTTCTTATTGATTT